CCGCCCGATCTGTGGTGTTCCCCGGTTCCTGCACCAGTCCCTGGAAATCAGAAAATACTCTGTTAAATACGCGGCATTGCAGTTTGCTGGCTTCTCTTTGTATGCTCCACAACCATACCAGTGCTTTTCACTTCTGATTTGTGTGAAGTGAAGTTGAGCTAGAAAAAGAAAAGGAGGCCCTCCCAGCATTAGGGAAGGCTTCTTCTGGCCTTTAGGGCCTAACCGCTTCGCCAGCTTAACAAGCGCTGCCCCGTTGTGTTTAACAGATGAATCAGTGACTGTTTTTGTCTTATCCTAGAAACTTGTAACTGTTTGATGTGATGAAGCCCATACTCTATCTTTCCAACATTATTGGAGATTTCCGTTTTTCCACTGTGATGTGACTTTGAATTTTATGTTATCTTCTTCGCTGGGTGACTCTCACCTCGTCATGAATACGAGAGTCTGCAGTGGGAGAAAGAAGAGGCCATCAGTTTGTTCATGAGGGCGCTGCTTTAAGCGCTTATGATAAATCAGGGTGGTCCCTAGCTGAAGACCGTCTTCAAACTGTTTATGAAGGGAGGAAAGCACTGGGGGCACTACTGACCAGCTGTGTGGCCCGGGCACGTCACTTAGCACCTCTGGGCCCCTCAGCTCCTCTCTGGGCAAGTAAGATGGCCTGCCCTGTGCCCTCCCGCGTGAGCCGCTGCGGTCTGATACCACGCTGCAGAGAAGCGCCACTTATGGCTTAGACTAGTTGATTCTTTAAGTCTCTTAAAAATCCATTTGCTTATAAAAAAATTTACCATTTTGTACAATTCATGTCTAGTCATTCTAATAACTTACAGGACCTCACTTCACAATTCTTCCAGTTTTACTTAGTGGGCATATTGAAAAGTAATAAAGCATTATTACTTACAATTCAAACTAGAATTTAGACAAGTCTTGTCTGCATTTTGTCCAAAATATTTATTCCATGCCCTTTTAAAGACACATAAATGCAAAAGCGTAATGGGTATATAATGAGTGATTGAAGCTTGCCTTTGCTTTACACCCATTCAGATACTCCTAATAAGATACCCCCACCTTGTCTACAGGGAAAAGCAGTGCTAGTGTTGGAAGAGTGAAAAAGACAAGGAAAAACTATGGTCTGTTTACGTATTTTTAAAAGCATTTTAAGAGCTTTCTCATCACTGGTATTCTCGAAAGGTTCCAGCCCTGTGGTTCCAGCCACCACAGGGGCATATTATTCGGGGCGTATGCTGAGAGTAACTCATCAGTTGCCTAGAAATTACCCGCTCTTGATGATTAGGGAGTGAAAACTTCCAGAAGTTTCTTTTCTCAGATAGGTTTGATAAGTCATACTGTACCTGTATGTTTGTATATTCATGGTCTCAAATCTACAGTGGCAATAGACTTCCTCTTACTCGGCCGTATAGTGTTTCTTGTCTGCCTTGCGTCTCCGTTGGAACTTTCACACCTGTAATAATAAGCAGGCGGCGTCAGTGCTGTCACAGTGAATAGTGACCACCCACGCAAGAGCAGACTTAAGTTGAACAGGCTTAAAAACCTATAAGGAACCACGGCCCTCATAGGAGGAGAAGAACAGACTCAAACAATGCAGCTGGTGTTTGTCTCCAAAATGGGGGAACTATCCTAAAAGAGTGAGAGCAAACTGCTATCGTGAGACTTACACCAGGCTGGTAAATTATTACAGGTCTGGTTGCTTTCCTGTAGGCAGCATGCATCTCCCATGCTTCATAAAGGCTTCTCTTTCTACACCGCAGCTGGACTGCTGACTCCTGATCCACGCGTCAGAGAACGGAAGAAGCCAGGCCAAGAGGGAGCCCGCAGAAAGTTCACCTGGAAGAAGCGCTAAGTGTTCTTTCACGGGCGAGGAGAGGAAACGCCGTGTATATGTGCCTGGCATGCGGCAGACATACAATAAATATTTGCTGGCCAGTGTGAGGGCAACACTATCAGGCATTTGAGTTGTGAAAGGATTTATTTTTAAATGCTACTTTGTAAAGGTTACCTTGTAAACATAATTTTTAAAAAATATTTACTTCATTCTGCTGCCTTATTTTTTCAACTTTTTCAGAAGGTCGTTTTAGAAGCATGATTCATAGAACCTTGGCGTATTAGATCTGAAAGGAACATTCAACAACATCTAGTCAAGTAACCTCATTTTGCAGACGAGAAGGCCCAGCCTCCAAAATGAAGGGACCTACCAGAGCTGCACTGCTAATTTAGTGAGAGAACTCATTTCTCCTGATTCTCTTGTTTTCCCATACAGCCGTTGTTAACAACATATTTTTCAAAATGAGGGGCGAGAATGCTTGTTCAAGAGAATGAAGTTGTGAGGGTCTTTGTCAGGAGCCAGAGAGGACTGAGCTGCCAAGTGTTCAAGGAGCGGATTCAGACAATAGGCCAGTCTCCCCCCAGCCCCTGGCAGCCACCACTCTGCTGTTTGTAGGAGTTCAGCTTTAAGATGCTACATACAAGTGATACCGTGTGGTTTTTGTCTTCATCCAGCTTATTTCCCTGAGCATAACGCTCTCCAAGTTGGGTTCAGGCTTTCCGCTAGAAGATGACTTAGTTCCGAGGATCTAATGTGCGGATTACGGTTGATAATTCTGTATTATATAATGGAAATCTGCTTAGATCTGAAGCATTCTCACCAAAAAAAAAAGTGGGGAGGGGAAGAAACCATGAGGCGATGGATAGGTTAATTTACTTGATGGTAGGAACCCTTTCACAACCTGTGTGTGCGTACAATAGTCCCCCACCCCCATCCACACGTATACATTCCAAGACCCCCGGGGCGGGGGGGTGCCTGAAACCACCAAACCTGATACAAAACGGGGTTTTTCTTCTATACATAAATATCTATGATAAAGTTTAATTTATAAATTAGGCATAGTAAGAGTAACATAATCAAATAGTTATAACAGTATACCGTAATAAAAGTTATGTGAATGTGGTATCTCTCAAAATACCCTGTTGTGGTGTACTCACCCTTCTCATGATGGTGTGAGATGAGAAAATGCCCCCGTGAGGAGATGGAGAGAGGGGAAGATGTGGGCACCAGGACGCGGCGTTAGGCCACTACTGACCCTCGGAGGAGAGAGCAGGAGGAGGATCATTTGCTTCCAGACTGTGGTTGACCACGGGGATCTGAAAGCACAGATAAGGGGGGACTACTGTATATCAAATCATCACATTGTACATTTTAAATGTATTACAACATTGTCAATTCTACCTCAGTAAAGCTGGGAAGAAAGCCGAGTGAAATTAATAGTGAAGTCTGTAACTGCTTACTGCTATGGTATAAGCAAGAGACTAAGCCAGGGACGTGCTCCCCCAGCCCACGGAAGGCTCAGCAGAGGTGCCTGTGATACAGAGGCTCTGAAGGAAGGTGGGTAGGCCACGAGTTCACATAGGTGGAAGAGCGAGGGCGGGGGCCAGGGGCCGAGTCCTTGACTGCGGGTCCCCCAGAGACTGCCACACACTAGCTGTCCGTAGGGCAGGGGTGCGGAGGGCTGCTTCCCTGGGACAACCTCTGTAATTGCCTGCACTGGGTCTGAAAGACCACATACAGGTTTCTGGCCAACAGCTGGACTCCTTAGTCGGCTAAGTGTTAAATTGAGGAGCTTGTTATAGGGTTTCTAAAGTTCTTTAAGAAACTTAGATTTTCATCAAAAACTAATGATGTAATGTATGGTGGTTAACAATAAAAAAATTATTAAAAAAAAAAAAACTTAGATTTTAACTGTATTGTAATTTTGCAGGTTTTTGAGGGGAAAAGGTAATTGGTGACAGGAGTGCTTTAAATCCATCTTAATACACTTGTTTTAATAAATACTTCAGAAATTAGACCCTCAGTGTTCAGTTGTCTTTTCTGTAGGGAATTATCTAGTACTGATATCTCAGTAAATTTGTTTTTTAAAAAAAGTCTAGGCTAAGTTCTGAAATGTGTACATACATTTCAGATCCTTAAACCGTATGGTAACCCGATGAAAACAAGGGCATACGTATCCCTGCATCGTGCCCAATGCGTTACTCATCTCGGACGAAATTGTGGAAAATGTGCCCTGGTTTCTCTGCACTGCATTCTCCTGTGAAGTCGTGGCAGGTTCGGTCCCGCTTCTGTTGGAGCACGCTTTCTATCACCTTGACGAGAGGTGGGTGACGAGCGGTCCTGCCGTGTGGCATGGGTCCGCTGAGGTCTTGCAGGTGGGCGTGGGCGTCCGCCAGCACCTGGCGCACACCTGGCGAGCCCTGGCAGGACAGGCCAGCCCGAGCGCGTGCCGGCCGGCGCTTCTCATGAGGGAGACCCTTCTCATGGAAGAGACGCCTTGGGGGAAACCAGGGCGCTGGTGCGGGAAAGCTGGGGCCCTGAAGGACAGAAGACTTGGCAGAGACAGCAGTGGAGGCAGGAGGTGGGGGTGCAGACCCTGCAGCAGTAGAGAGACGGGCAGAAGGCGAGTTCAGGATGTCGGGGCGGGACACACACAGCAGGCGGGTGCTGCTGGTGGGGAAGGTGCCGGGTGGTTTGTGGTGGCCACAAGGTCACAGAGCTGTGTCTGTGCTTCCTGCCCCCGGAGAGTGCCTGAGGCTGGCTTTCTCTGAGGAAAACAGCCAGGAGGGTTGGGATTACAGCAGTGATTTCAAACTGTTAGCAACACGACTCTGAGATAGTTTAACTAGTAGGGAGTATCACAGCACACAATACAGCTGACCTTTGAGCTGCATGGGTCTACTCATATCTGGATTTTTTTTTAGTAAGTACAATACTGTGAATGTATGTTAGGATTTTCTTAACATTTTCTCTAGCTTTACTATAGGAATATATAATAAATATACAAAATGTGTGCTAAACAACTCTTTGTTATGGGTAAGGCTTCCAGTCAACAGTAGGCTATTAGTACGTTTTGGGAGAGTCCAAAGTTCTACACGGATTTTCTACTGCACAGGGATTGGCACCCCGAATCCCCACATTGTCCAGCCTGTAACAACAGTCTGAATGTTAGGTCCCACCTTCAGGTGAGGCAGCTCTCAGGAATCCAGGGCTCCATGGGAGAATCTCTACCTCGGAAAGATCACAGCTGTTGCAGGAGCAGGAGGGACTCAAAGTGGGGGGCCCATCAGGAGGCTTCTGTGACCGGACCAGGCAGGATGACCAGAACGGGGGCAGGTGCGCAGAATGTTCCAGAGCAGGCCCAAGCTGGCTGTAAGAGGCAGGGGCAGATGCCAAGTAGGAGAGTGAGCAGGCAGCTGGTAAAGCAGAGAACTGCAAACGCGACGGAGGGGACAGTGACATTAGAGGGGCTGGCTTGGAGTTTCAGATGTCCGGGGACAGTTGGAAACGGGGCTGTAACTGAGCAGGGGCGTCAGGCCGGTGGCCGGCGTGGGAGGCCAGTACCTGGTCGGGCACTTGAAACACTGTGTTTCATGTGGTGGGAAGAAGGCCAAGCCTCCGCTCTGGAGAGAACAGCGAAGTTTAAAGCCCGAAGGAGAGAGATGAGCCAGAAGCAGCACCGGTGGTGGGAGAGGAAGGAGGAAGTCTGGGGGTGGTGACCAGAGGCCACTGGAGAAGGAAGCTGCAGGGGCCCTCCCTGGGCTGGCGGACAGTGCGGGCTGTGTGTGTGCAGTGGGTCCCGCTCCCCTCCGTACCTCAGTTGCCTCACGTCAGATGGGCGTCGCTCGCTGTCTGCCCTGGCAGCCCCACCTGCCCCTTCGTGAGGGTCAAGTAAGATAGAGCGGGGCAGCAGGGGCGGCCCACTCAGGAGCTGGGCCACTGGAGCGCGCGGACGAGGCCGCCAAGGAAGAGGATTAAGCAGGCCCGGACCCTTGTTTCTCTGCTCAGCTTGAGGCTGGCTCTTTTGCAAACAAGTGCTTAGGGCAGGAGCTAAAGGCACTTAGCTTTCCAGCCTCTGATTCTTGACCTTCTCGGCCACCTTGGTCAGAAACTCGGTAAGTGGGTTCTGAGCGCCAACTGTGTATGCGGCATTGAGAAGGGCTGATAGGCACTTTAAAAAAAAAAAAAATAGGCATTTGACAAGATTATTGCCTTCAGATAATAGTAAGTGCTAATGCTTCTGTAGTTCCTACTCGGTGCCAAGTACTGTTCTAAGTACTTTACAAGAAAGAATGGATTTAATCCTCACAGCAACCCTATTAGGTAGTCCTGAGAAAAATCAGTGCGCAGGGACATTATTACGTAACTTCCCCAAAGTTGCACGGTGAGGGAATGGCCAAGCCAGGTTGGAATCTGGAATCTTGGCTCCAGCACCGTTCTCTGAACCCTGTGGGAGGCAGAGAGGCAAGACACACAGCACAGGAGCCCGCACAGACCACCCGTGCTCACACGGTCCACGGAAGGAGAGCCCATCGCTCGGTGCGGCCAGGAGATCTGACGGAGGCGGTGGAGATTCCAGCAGATCCTAATGGATGGGTAACCATTGATTAATTAGCATTTATACTATGCCCGACAGCCAACCTTGAGCCTTCGTCACATCCAGAGAGGGGTGTCCCTGCCATGCCATCAAGATGGGATCACTAGGAGGACAATGAGTGGGCCAGGTGCCTGTGGGAGAAGGTTCTAGGTGAGGCATGAACAGTGATGTGAGTCCAGGGATGAAGCCCGAGGAAGGTGAGGACTCCCCCAGTTTGCCCGCGATGGCCCAGCCTACACCTCTCAGTATCACTGGGTTATCTACGTGTAACTCCTAAGGAGTTCGTTCTTTGGCTCCCCACACTTCAGGGCATGTGTGAAACATTAGAATCCTTCCCAAGGTTTTATGGATATGTAATTCTTCCTGCACATGGGTCCATCGCTCTCACGAGATGCCCAGAGGGGTCCATCCCTGTAATGGCACGGACATAATGGGGGTTTTGCAACAAATGTTGGAGAGGTTGTGGAGAAAGGGGAACCCTGTCTTACACTGTTGGTGGGAATGCGAGTTGGTACAGCCACTTT